CTATCCGTTTTTGCAGAACGTAGCAAATTTTATTCTGCAAAAAAGTTAGATTCAGAGTCAATTATGGAATGGACCGCTAGAGTTCGGAGTTTAGCGGTACACTGCCAATTTGGCGAATGTCTCGAGATGTCCTTAAGAGATCGATTCATAATGGGAATCGAAAGTAGATCAATAATGGATCGTCTTTTTGAAGAGAAAAATGATTTGACCTTCGAACGGGCCATTGCTATAGCAGCAAGTAAGGATGCCGCCATTCAAAATTCGCAACAAGCAGAGTACACAGGTCCAGTCATCAAGCCAGAACCACTTCATCATTTGCGCAAGTCTGGAAAGAGAACCACAGCCATACACCAGCCATCCACGTCATCATCTACAATGGCGCACAGGAAATGTGACGTCTGTGGAAGAGGAAATCATACAGCTTCGAAATGTCAGTATCGTGAGTGTAAATGTCATGTTTGTACTCAGAAAGGGCATTTAGCTACTGTTTGTCCGCAAAGAAATTCTTATAAAAAAAATAGTTTATACAAAAATCAAACAGATAGAAATAACTTTCTAGAAAAACTTGATTCAGACGCAAATTCAGATTCAGACAGTAATGTAGCAGAGAATTCATTATTTATGATTTCAAATTTAAATCAGAAGTTAGGTAAACAGCCTATTATGGCAGAGATAATCATTTTTAATAAAACATTTAAATTTCAAATTGATACGGGAGCTTCTTCTAGTTGTTTTTCCGATATATTTTATCACGATCATTTTACAGATTTCAAATTAAATCATACTGATCAAGAATTTTTTGTTTATACGGGACAAAAAATTAAACCAATTGGTAGTACAAATTTAACTATAACTTACAGAAATATTTCTAAGAATTTAACATTTTTTGTTATTGAAAATGGAGGTCCTCCAATCCTGGGACGAGATTTTTTTGAATTGTTTAAATTAAATCTAACTGAACATTATTTTTTTGATGAAAAGGCACAACTTAACAACCTTATTGAAAAAAATAAAACATTATTTGAACCAGGGTTGGGAACCTTTAATAAAGGAACAGCTAAAATAATTTTAAAAGCCGGTACGGTAGCTCCAAAATTTTTTAGGGCCAGACCACTCCCATTCGCACTTAAAGAAAAGGTTGAAAATGAACTAAATCGACTATTAAAAGAAAATGTTATCACTCCAGTAGAATATACAGAATGGGCAACACCAATAGTGCCGGTTATCAAACCCAACGGCCAGGTTAGGATTTGTGGTGACTTTAAGATTACCATAAACCCTTATTTGCAAATTTATCAATATCCGCTACCTAGGGCAGAGGAGTTGTTTGCGAAACTTGGAGGAGGTATCGAATTTAGTAAAATTGATCTTACAAACGCTTATCAACAAATTTTGTTAGACGAAAATTCAAAAATATTTACAACTATTTCCACACATAAAGGTTTTTTTGTTTATAATAGACTTCCTTTTGGAATTTCTTCCGGGCCTGCAATCTTTCAAAAAACAATGGAAACCTTATTTCAAGGACTGGAGGGGGTAATTTGTTTTGTAGATGACATATTAATTACGGGAAGTACAAAAAATGAACATATGGAAAGATTAGATACAGTTTTGAAAATTTTATCTAATTCAAATTTTAAAGTTTCATTAGAAAAGTGTCAATTTTTTCAAAGTTCAATAAAATATTTAGGTTTCATAATTTCTAAAGAAGGGTTGCACCCATGTCTAGAAAAACTTAGAGCTATAAAAGATGCACCATGTCCAAAAAATATTACACAGCTTAAATCCTTTCTGGGATTAGTTAACTACTACGGTAAATTTATAAAAAATTTATCCACCCTTTTATATCCGTTATACAACTTATTAAAAAAATCAGTGAAATGGATTTGGGATAATTCTTGCAAGGAATCTTTTGAATTAATCAAATATAAATTAACATCAAATGATGTTCTTGTGCATTTTCAGTCTGAGTTGCCAATTAAATTAATCGTAGATGCATCAAATGTGGGAATAGGGGCCATGATATGTCATGTTTTTGAAAAAAAATATTGAGAAACCTATAGCTTTTGCTTCGCGTACCTTATCAAAGTCCGAACAAAAATATTCCCAAATTGAAAGAGAGGGTCTTGCAATAATTTTTGGCTTAAATAAATTTAATGAATATTTATATGGACATTTCTTTGTCCTAGTTACAGATCACTTACCTCTGGTAACTATTTTTAACCCAGCTAAAGGTATACCCCAATTTTCAGCCAACAGACTACGTAGATGGGCAGTAATATTGTCAAATTACAATTATAAAATTGAATATGTGAAATCGGAGCATAATAAAGTCGATTTTTTATCACGTTTACCTATTGAAAGTCAAAATGAGAGTCAAAATGAAGAAAAATTTGAGAAAGATTTTTTAAATTATTTTTCAAAAAATAACGATTAAAAAATTAAATTTGAGGATGTGCATTTAGCAACATTGAATGATATTTTTTTACAAAAAATTATAAAATATGTAAAAACAGGTAGTTGGCCTTCTTTTGCCCAGAAACATGAACAATTTAAGATGTATTTTAAAAAAAAATATGAACTTTCAGTTGAAAATGAGTGCTTAGTGTGGAATAACAGAATAATTATTCCTGAGTTATTACAAAAGAGAGTTTTGCAGGAACTTCATCAAACACATTTAGGAATTGTCAAAATGAAGGGTATTGCTAGAAGTTATTTCTGGTGGCCAAAAATGGATAAACAAATAGAAAATGTGGTAAAAAATTGTGAAATTTGTGGCCTAATTAGTCCATCTCCTCGAAAAGCTAAGTTATCTTCATGGAAATGGCCTGAAAAAGCCTTCGACCGGGTACACATAGATTTTTGTGGGCCATTTTTAAATAAAATGTTTTTTATTTTTGTTGATGCTCATTCAAAATGGCTAGAGTGTTTTGTGATGCAATCTTTGACTAGTCAAGCTACCATAAAAATACTACGATCAATATTTTCACGATTTGGTTTACCAAAACAACTCGTTTCTGACAATGGCACATCTTTTTGCTCAGAAGAATTTTCAAAATTCCTAAATTCAAATAATATAGAACATATTTTTTCACCACCTTATCATCCCCAGTCTAATGGCCAAGCAGAGTCTAGTGTAAAAATTGTTAAAAATGCTTTAAAAAAATTGGTTTTTGAAAATAAATCTCATAGTGATCTTGATTTTATGCCTTGTCAGTTTCTTTTTGATTATAGAAATTCGATACACTCCTCCACTGGTGTTACACCTTCAGAACTCATTTTTAGACATAAAGTAAATACTAGATTTAGTTTATTATCAGCAAATAATAAAATTAAAATAAAAGTCGAAGAAAGTCAAACCAAACAAAAAGAATACTTTTCAGGTAATAGAATTTTAGATATTAAAATTGGAGATAATGTATTAGCTAGGGGATATAAAAATAATAAAGAATACTGGAATAAAGGAAAAATTGTACAATTAATAGGAAAAAAAGTATATGAAATTTATATTCCAGAGTTAGATATGAAATGGAAACGACATCTTGACCAAATAAAATTTTTTAATAATAATTCTTTGCCTACAAGTGCAGTAAATATGTCTGCTGATGTGGATTTAAAAAGCCAAGATGTAGTTTCAGCGGTCTCTAGACCTAAAAGATTAATTAAACCACCAGAAAGATATGGAGCAATGTAAATTAATATAATAAAGTACCTATATAACTTGAGTGTAAATATTAATTGTAAATATTAGGTTAATTAATTGTGAATAAATAAGGGAAATGGAAAATGGAAACTCTAGTATATAGTGAATATCTAAATAAAATTGTTGGAATATATATATATATATATATAAAAAAAAAAAAAAAACTTTTTTATTTTTATAAAAAAAATTTGTATATATATATATATATATATATATATATATATATATATATATATATATATATAAGTTAATAGAATGTATTTTTAAGTAAAAAAATATTGAAGGGGGGAAATGTGTTGTATATTGTAAATATTACTGGTACGCCACTGGGATATTTATTTATTTCTTTGGTTGATTTGTTATCGCCTAGGTACATCGATGGGTATGTACAATACTAAAAAGAAATCATTCTTGTATTAACCGTAAATCAATAAAGAATAATAATAATACTTAAAGTGTGAGTTTGATTCTTCCAAATTGAAGGCTTCAAGTGTTATATAAACTTCATATTAAGGACAATATAACAGTAATAATATGTAACTTTCACTTGTTTATTATCATTATCTATGGCCTAGTATTAATTAATGCATTTAATTTTAGAAAATTGTCATTTATTTTTGTGTTTTTCAGAAAAGTGGATACTATTATATATTTTTAAAAAGTCAAAGAAGACAAAAAATCTGTTTTATACGACAAATTTGCTTGAAGGATAACATAATTATGAGAGGGGTCCCAAAATGCAACATTTTCAAAAATGTCATGTATCTTATAAACTAAAAGGGCTATTAAAATTTTGTTAACAACATCTTTAGTAGCACAGTGACGCGAAAACCGCTAACCTCTATCTTAAAAAATAAAGATACATGTAAAAAGAGTTTAAATTTAATTAATTTTTTTTATGTCGTTTAAATAAAGTCTCTTTTTCTTCGACTAAAAAGCAGAATATCATATTTTTCTATAAATTATTTAAGGTATCTTCTCCGATGAGACTTTTACAGTTTTACCGAAAGATCTTTTTCTCTAATGGTAGGGATCACGCCACCAACTGAATTATTGAAAATCGAAGGGTTTTATTGTTGAAAAATGGTCACATACAGGACAGACATCAATATTAAAAAAAAAGTAAGGGCAATTGGACTAGATTTTATCAAGGGATGAAAAAGTTAACCTTGAGTATCCTTGAAAAAGAGTTATATGAATAATGAAATAAAATAAGGTGAAATTGTTAATTAATGGATGGATAATAGGCTTGGTCGAAACGGGCATATTTTTAAAAAATATTTAGCTGTGCTTTATTTTACTTTTCCCTGAAGTTTTGAGTTACGTGGCCAATAGATTCAGGTTCCTCGATAAGCGATATGTGTTCTTCGACAACAGTTTTCTTGTATAATCTATCATTTTTCTTCTCTTGCAGTAAAGTTTTGACCTTTCTTCCATCAAAATACAGACTTTTTATTCTTCTCAAACACCTTCCTTGCGGTATTTCTAAATTTCTCTCGCTCTCTTCGCACTTTATTTTCGATGGATCTTCTGTGGTAATTATTTCTACATCTTTTAATACTGCACTAGCAATTGCAGCAGCTGATCGATCAGATATACCATATTTATCGCATACAAGACCTAACGTAGGTAACTTTATTCTCGTTCGAGTGTTTTTAGAGGTAGAGGATAAGTTTGGATTGATAAAGTCGTCATCTGAAGAGGATTGATATTTTAAGAGGTCAGATTCTGATCCTGACAATAATGTAGTAGGTTACTGTTAAATAGAAAAATCTTATGCAGTGGCAATGCCAAAAGGACCTAAGCATATATTTTGGCTACAATTGGTCAGATTCCAACAGAAAAAATGCGTTATATAGTTAATACCGTTGAATAGAAAAATCCTGCGCATAATAAATGCCAGAAGAACCTAAGCGCGTATCTCGGCTACTATTGGTTTTATTTAAACGATGTAAACGGCATTAAGTAGAGAAAATGGTATAAATTAACGTTGAATAAAAAAATTCTACGCATTGACAATGCCAAAAGGACCTAATCGTGTATCTAGGCTAACATTGGCCAGATTTAAACGAGAAAACGGCATTATGTAGAGAACATGGAATATATTAACGTTGAATAGAAGAATCCTGCGCAGTAGCAAAGTCAAAAGGGTGTAAGACCCCAACTAACAAAGTAGCTTTATAATTTTTAGTTTACAAGACTATTATATTTTATTGATATTATATTGCTGTTTCTGGAATGCTAATTTATTGTACTACAGTTGTAGAAATCACTATTTTGTTCTCTGAAACTAAATAGTTATATAAATTAGTTTTTACAATATTCTTACAGCAAAATTATAAAATAGTTTTCACGATAACTATGAAATTGTTACATAAACATTTATACAACTGTTCTATACAATATTTCAGCTTATAAAATAAAATTGCTTTATAGTTATTCTATATTATTGTTCTGGATTACCTTTAGAACTTTTTGGTCATACAAATATAACTGTTTCTTAACCTCATAATAACGCTTTAAAAAATAGTTATATAAATATTAGTGTGAGATAATTCCGCATCAATAGCAATTTGCTTCTGATGAAAACTCTAAAATAACTGTAATATATTGTCGAAATACACTATTACAAATCAGAAAACTGTATAGCAATTATTTTAGTTAAGAATAGTATTATCCCTTTAAAAATATTTATAAAAAAATAAAGCAACTACATTTGGTAGTACCTACGCCATATTATTTTTGTATTTTGTTTGTTCAACTACTTCCCATACCAATTGTATGTGAGTGTATGGTCTGAAAATGTCAGATTTAAATAGTGAAGGAATATAAAAAATAAGTGGTACCTGCTTTTCAGAGAACAGTAAAAAATATTAGTAAAACATTTTGATGGTTTGTCTAGACACTCAAAAAAAAAACTATCATTTAGCCAGATAATAATTAGGTATGTTCTGAATAATCATGCCCCAATACTAAAAGAAAGCCATATTTTTGGCGATGTCCATGTTAAATTTGCTTATTCTCGTAATATTAAAAATTATGCTTGCTCTATAAAGCTGTAGAAACAAATCTAATCATTTCAATTCCCAAATACTTAAATCGGAAACGATTTAGTAAGGTTATGTTATATTTTGTCATATAGTGTAGCAATATGAAACTATTATACAACAAACCATGATGAACTTGTTTTGTAGAAATGAGTAATACAACTTAATTATTGTATTACAGCTGTTTTTACTACAATAATATTTTATAATTATGATTCAGTCTTAAAATAACTTTTTAATACCTCTGAATAGCCGCCATATTAAACACAAACCTAAGACAGTTTTAAAGCTAAATCTACTGTCGGTTTTACTAGTATTTAAGACAAAACCAATGTTAATTAAAGATTTTAATCATTAGTAATATTAGCATAATCTTATTACTAAAAAAAAATCAAATTGCATAAATTTAATTTTTGTTTCACACTGAAAAAGTATTAGAAATATGAATCAAACTCGAGGCGCTTAAAAATTTAGTATTGTATGTGCTATATAATTAACAGTAATTCTTGCTGCGCATCCAAAAACGACTTTATTGTAGGGCATACATTATGTCTAAACCGCGTTATAGATATATCTTAAGTAGATACTGCCATTTTACTAATATCGCCTTGAATTTACTTTTATGACAAATATAGAATTAATTTGTTTTCACCAGATACATTTAAAAAACTAAAATGTTACTGATTTTGATATGCAACCTAATCTCAAAATTGAAAATTTATAAAACAGTTATAAAAGTTTAAAAAAACATTTGTTTAAAGTTTGTGTAAATGTGTAGTAACTGTTCGGTAACTGCATTCAACAAATCTTATAGAATTTACAAAAGAACCAAATAGTTCTGTAATACTGCGCCCATTTTGTGTTTATTACTGTTGAAAGAATGTTCCGGAAATGTTCTTAGCTAATATTCTATTTTATAAATTTTGTTCTGTAAACATTTTTTCAGCTTTTATAAAATATCAAATTGTTACTTGGGACTGTAGCTCAGCTATTATTAGTTATTTAAATAGGATGATCTAAGTGTATCTCTTCTGTTATTAGTCCAATTTACATGGAACAAACGACGCAATGAAGGAAACGTCAAAGTCAAAAGAACCTGTGTATATCTTAGCTGATATTGGTCATATTCAAACGGAAAAATAGGTTTAATGGCATTATGCAGAGAACGCGGTATAGATTAACGTTAAATAGAAAAATCCTGCGCAGTAGCTATGTCAGAAGGCCTAGGTCTTTCGATTTTGCTGGATTGCCTTTATTGTCTTTAAATGTAAAGGTTAAAGAAAAAGTCCTTTATTTCTCACAAAGTCAATTTATTGGCGACCGGTTTCGAAGTTGTCACTTCATCATCAGGCACAACTTCGAAACCGGTCGCCAATAAATTGACTTTGTGAGAAATAAAGGACTTTTTCTTTAACCTTTACACTTAATCCCTACTACTCACATATGGCTACCCTCACTCCAAATTTATTGTCTTTGTTTCTTCATGATCTACATTTCGTATGCTCATTTTTCTAAACAATCTTTGATTAGAAAGAAAATTTTTGTTTCAAAGTAGGTATTTTCCTGGCCTTTCCACACATGCATGCAGAAAAATCGCATTCACAAGCAGCTATATCAAGTACTTTTTTTATGACACTCTATTCTAAATGTCCTTTTCGTCACAGCTGTTGTTTCGTTTACTTCTGGGATATCTTATTAGATTCTTGTATTTTTAATAGTTCCGTATTAAGAGCGTTATCCAGTACGCTCCTAACTCAGATTTCAAATCTGTTAAATAATACCAAAGAGTACAAAATATAACTATAAAAGAGAAGTCACTCGCGGTATTTATTTTTATTTATTATTGTTTATTACAATGCTTCACTTCTTAATTAAAAACAAAGTTACGCATATGTTCGCTGTTCGACCATTAGGTACATAATATCGCCTGAATCTAAGAAATAGCGTATTTGTAACCAATCCCGAAAATATTATAGCAAATTAAAATTTTAACTTTTATGTTTTTGGCCCATCCTAATGGATAAGTTTTAAAAATTAATCTAAGCAAGTATTTATAACACTCAACAAGAGACACCAGAAAAAACATTTTTAGTGAAACTTTTCCAACAAACATTTTCCTTCAAAAAGAAAAAACGTGTAAACGTTCGCCTAAATATACATTTTTGTACTTGATAAAAAAAATTTGCCCTAGTTTATATTCTTCCTTTATCCAGCGAAGTCAAATTAAAAACTGATTAATCTACGAAAAATTTGAAATTGAAATCATTGCAATGTAAAAAAAGTAATTAACCTTTTTCTTACATCTATTCAGCTTGAAAAAAAAACATCGAATTCTATGCGGAAATTGAGTGAAAAATCTCCATAATAACTCAAGTCCAACCAAGCCCTTTTCCAAAGAGTTAAAGGAATCCAGAAGAAATTCGCTGATAATGCAGGAATGTCTCAAGGGGATAGCTAATGAGAGCAAAACGTAACGAAAATCTGGAGCCCTACATAATTCACAAAAAGAACGGATTCAAGGGGCGAAAATAAGAGATAACAGAATGCAATTAATTGCGTAAAATAATAAAAACAAAGTATACAGTGTGTTGTGGATACATACATATTATTGTTATGTTCTTCATATTTTTGCAATGGTGTTTTAAAATATTTACTCTCAAAAAGGTAGAGGACTGCGCACCAATGCTTTAGAATTAAGCAGAACTTGTCTGCAGAAAAGTATAATTCTTTTAATGATGGTTGGTAGATCTTTTCTTACCTGTAAGTCGAATGGCATCAACTGTAAGTCGCCCTGAAGTGTCACGGCAAATAATAATTATAATAGCCGTCCTTTCTCCTGACAAGCTCAGCTCTTGGGGTTAAAATTTACTTGTTATGAAGAGAATTAATTAATGTCAGTAGTGATGACAGAGTGATGACAATGACACGAATTTCTTAAGAAGTGTATCATATTTAACTTTCCTATAAATCTCTGTTTTAAATCTACTTATGCCTCTTCTAATAACTCACACAACAAATATATACCTAATTATTATATACCAATATCCACGATCATTAACAAACCTAAACAACTTCCTAATAAAGCTCTGGGCTTTGATAAAATCCCTGCATGTCTGTTAAAGAATTGCTCTGAAGAACTAACGCAACTTCTATTTATCCTATTCAATAAATCGTTTCAAGAAGGTCACTTTCCAGATATTTGGAAAACAGCATTAATTGTTGCTATTCTGAAATCTGGTGATAAATCCCTAGCGGAAAAATACTGCCCTATTTCTAAATTGTGCATTATTGCAAAATCTTATGTGACTACTTAGACTTTAATCTTAAAAATATTATTAATATCGAACAACACGGATTTATGAAAAAGCGGTCCATCGAAAGTAACCTTCTTATTTACACACAATAATTATTAGATGGAATGGATCGTGGATTGCAAGTAGATACCATTTATACCTACTTTAGTAAAGCATTTAATAAAATTGATCATAATATACTCCTCCATAAACTTGCTGGGGTTGGTACTCATGGTAATTTGCTTAGGTGGTTTTCATCTTATATAAGTAACAGGACTTACGCTATTAAAATTGGCATGTATAGCTCTGCATTTTCTGTTATTACATCTGGCGTACCTTAAGGATCTCATCTGCGATCGCTGCTTTTTATTATTTATATTAATGATATTGTCAATTGTTTTACCTACTCGAAATTTATTATATACGCTGACGATTTAGGTTTTTCTTACTGTTGCTACGAATTTGGATTCCTTACAGATTCAAACTGATTTTGACAATTTATTTTCCTATTGCATCCGTATTGCTTGTATCTTAATCTCAACAAATGTCACTATATCACTTTTTCTAGAAATAAAAATATTTTATTTAATAAAAAGAGACAGATCATCGGATCTTAAAAAAGAAATTGGAGAGAAGAAGAAAAGATCAGTAACAACTGCTTGTGTTCCTTCTAAAGATGTAAGGCTAGATAGTCAGTCACATTGGCCTAAGAAATAAAAATTTCCCAAATATTCGTCATTTTCTTATATAAAGTTATCTAAATGTAGACTGCACTATGTCTAAATAAAAACAAATTTTACACATGTTAACTTTTATGGAAAGTTTTCCGCTTTGTGGCTCATTTGATATAACCAGTTTTTAATAAAAAATTAAAAAACAAAAATTGTTGAATATTTTTTGTTTTTCCATGTTTATTTGAAGCCCAACACAGCCATTAATAAAAATTTTAAGATTATTAAAAAAATTACGGATTAAAGGGATAAATAATGTACTGCAAAACAATATTCTGCTCTTAACATGTTTTACACAAAGAGAAATATCGACATTCTTTGATGTTGTATGTTCTATGTTGTATGTTCTCAAAGGCGAGTATACAGTGTTGCTTACATGTCAGGAAAAGGTTATTGATTTTATTAGTCTGAGACAGTTTTATTTTAAGAAACTGTTAATATGTAAGTATGTACATCAAACACCTTATGGTGCTTACTATTGAAACCAAGAAACAAATGACTAATTATTCGTTATTTCATGAAATAGAATAATATTGATTCATTAAGAATCACATAAGTGTAGTAAAATATATTTAATTTACCAAGTAGTTGTTGAGAAACATTATTTTTGTATTTATATTGTTTAATGTTATTAATTCATTTCAGTTCATAATAAAATATTCCAACAAAATTTTCAAATATAAAAAAAATATACATAAAATCATCGGTCGATCAATTTATCCATTTAAAATACTAACAAAATATCAAATTGTAATATTTAATTTTCTCCCATACTGACTAACCGTTTTCCGTGCATTGTGAGGTAATATGCAAAATATAGAAGTCATTGGTGTAACAAATCCGAATTTAAATAGGAATTTCGTGTAATTGCTAGTAGAATTAATGGTTTTTCAGTATTTGTATAAGTATTGAAGTAATTGATAATATTTAAGTTTATAAATCTTTATACTAACTATGTGATGTTTTAACTTAATTATCACCATGCAGAAGATAATTACAAAAAAAAAGATTCTGTACAACATTCTGTATATGATTCTTATGACGACTGAATATGAAGTTTATTTAGCATTTTAAAAGGTTTAGACGTTTGATGATTACAAATAAAAAATATTACTAGACCCCTTAATACCGTAAATTTTATTGAATACAGAAGATTATACCTACTTTTGTAAAGCGTTTAATAAAATTGATCATAATATACTCCTCCATAAACTTGCTGGGGTTGGTACTCATGGTAATTTGCTCAGGTGGTTTTCATCTTATATAAGTAACAGGACTTACGCTATTAAAATTGGCATGTACAGCTCTGCATTTTCTGTTATTACATCTGGCGTACCTTAAGGATCTCCTCTGCGACCGCTGCTTTTTATTATTTATATTAATGATATCGTCAATTGTTTTACCTTTTCGAAATTTATTATATACACTGACGATTTAGGTTTTTCTTACTACGAATTTGGATTCCTTACAGATTCAAAATGATTTTGACAATTTATTTTCCTATTGCATCCGTAATTGCTTGTATCTTATTCTCAACAAATGTCACTATATTACTTTTTCTAGAAACAAAAATATTTTATTTAATAAAAAGAGACAGACCATCGGATCATAAAAAAGAAATTGGAGAGAAGAAGAAAAGATCAGTAACAACTGCTTGTATTCCTTCTAAAGATGTAAGGCTAGATGGTCAGTCACATTGGCCTATATACACCCAAGAAAGGCAAATTTCCCAAATATTCGTAATTTTTTTATATAAAGTTATCTAAAAGTAGACTGCACTATGTCTATGTCTAAAGTAAGTTAATGAATTTCACTCGTGTATTTCTCCGGAGAGCAACATTTCATATGCCTCGCCTCCACCAATGCACCATTCTATCGATCCGGACGATATGTTGTAAAAAATTACATAAATTTGCATCGGCGTATTGTTGAATAACAAAAAGCGAATAAATTTTCCGTATATATGTAATTTTTCCACATGACTATTCGTATTATATTCGCCATATCATGCGGATGACCTAAAGGCGCGCCGTTTGGTACACGGTACATAAATATAGGATATAAAAATAATTAATTGTAATATTTTTTGGTGATTTTGTGCAATTTACTTACTCTGTAAGCAGAAATGATCTCTACATTATCAAGTTGTAGAAATCACAAAGAGTTTTAGTCGACAATAAAACAATTTCGTTCATTCAGAAATATTCACCCTAATCTCGCCATAGAAATGTGGGAACATTTTTATAAAAATGTTTATTCTCCTAGAATTTTAGATACCACCAAGTTTTTCGATGCTCTGCGTTCCCTAGCTTGACGCTAAAATATCCACAGAGGAATGTTATACAGTAATAAATGTTTGCAGAAATAATAAATCTCCTGGTACTGACGGTATTTCTTATGAGTATTTTAAAAATCTCCCCAAAAATAGGAATCTATATATTACACTCCTATTTAACAATATTTTTGATTCTGGCGTAATGCCCCGAAAGTGGACCGAAATGTCCCTTATTTATGCTTAATAAAAAAATGTCCTTTCGATGATCCTTCAAATTACCGGGGATTAGCGTTAATAAACTGTGCTGCTAAAATTTTCACACACATTATTCTAAACAGGTTGGTAACCTGGTTAGAAAATAAGAATATTCTGCCGGAATCACAAGCCGATTTCCGACCGGGGTATGGTTGAATTGATAATGTGTATACGTTAACCTCTGCAATTCAACAGCATATTAGATTAAAAAAAGCGGAAAATGTTGATTTAAAGCGTGCTTTTAATTCCGTCAACCACTCCTTGCTCTGGATCAAGCTGTTTATTTTGGGTGTTAGTTCTAGAATTATACCTACGCAAAATGTATGATAATGCAGAATTAATAATAATCAACATTACACCTTGCGCAGCATCATATTCTAAGCCAACTATGTTCAGTTAGTCCATAAAGTTAGAACAGACAAAACGGTTACATCACCCCCTTGCGTTAATCAATAAAATATATGTTTCGCGAGTCAAGTTACACCTCCATGCCAGAAAATGATTGGTCAGTAAATTAAAAGTAGAAATGGCTGCATTTTTAACGGGTAAAACTCAAAGCTTTTACAATTATTTACGATACCTAAGCCGCAATGACGGCAATGTGATTACTATTCAAAGCAATTCAAACATGTATATAGTTTTAAATGATGCTTGTAAGATTGTGTTTTATGCCAACTATTTTCAAAAGGTTCAGTATTAAAAAAGTGTTCAGTTGTTCTGAATTTCAATACCTTCTAGGACATATCAAAAGATTAAAAGTTATATCTCAAATTACAGTTCACTAACATCATGGTCAGTTTCGACTTTATTTAACAAAAACTCATAAATTAAATGATATTTTTATATCTATTCAAACAAATCATAAACTACGACAGAACAAAAATTAATTCTGAATATTTTAATTGAAAACAGCGTTGAACAAGCGTCCTTTAATAAGAAACAAACTACATTATATTTATGTTGAATCTCTCAGTAACAATTCAACTACAAAACGTTATTACATCTATTAAGTTAATTATATTTATCAAAGCTTTGTAACAAAAATGATTCTAACTGAAGATGACGTTCCAAATAATACAACACTACAATTTGAATATTTACCGCAGTCATTTTGAATTAAGTTTCGCAAACTAAACAATATCATTGTCAAAGTAAATTCAAGTAGAGTTTACATTAGCTTTCTATATTGTTATGCAAATACCGTTTTCTGTGTATAGCCGATTCGGGATTCTGCGGAATTGAGCATTTTCAGCTCTAGTTCAAACTATTCTTGTATGTGCTACTAGAAATATAACTACTTTGAACTTGTTCAGGAGCGTTGCACCTATTTTCGATTGATATAAGTTTTTCAAACAGATCTGAGGATAAAAAGATACTAGAAGTACCGTTTTAGGATTAATATTATTATATGCTGTAGACTCTTGCTTGTTATTTGAGACCAATCAGAAGCACTTGAAATCTATTTTGTATTTTTGGGGTGGGAAAATTGGATTGCCCCTCACAGCTCTAAAGCTTTTCTACTACTTCTACTACTACTACTACTTCTTTCATTTTGGAGTGTACTACCTCTTATTTGACTTCAAACATTTTTCTCGTTAATATGATTAAACAACGCTAATATCCAGCATAGCAAACCCTATAAAATGCTTGGGGATCTCCAAAAAATATAGCGGAGTACATATATTTTTCTTCGTATGCTATTTCGATGATATCGACTAAGCTGTGTACTTGACTTAGTGTCAAGTATTTATTTCTAAAACCAAATTGATTCGAAGGGATCAGGTTTTTATTTTTAATTATTAGTTTCAGTATATTTATTAGAAGCTTCTCAAACAGCTTATACAGGGTGAGTCATGAGGAACCTTACAGACTTCTACCATATGTAGAGTCCCTCAAGGGGTATATCATATGAGCATTAAAAAGTGGCTACTCCCCTTCGTTATTAATAGACGGGGTGTTTTGTGAATTTTGACAAAACTTTATATGGCCGTAAAATCTACAAGGATTGCTAGATTTCTTTAATTTTTTGGTGGAGCATTACACTGGTGTCTAGCATTTAATTCATATCATCAAAAGTTAAAAATTCCAGGATTGGCTTAGGAAAAATTAATCTCGACGATTCATATCAAAAAGTTCGCCCTGTATAACATTTTTTTAAATTATAATAAGATATTTTTAAAGAACATAGATAGACAATCAAAACTGTGTATGTGACATTTTTGTCACCTTTTTTTTATTAAGGTTCGATTTTGGGTAAAACTGAAAAATCACCTTAAGGGTCACATAAATTATGTTATAACATAAAGAAAACATTGTTAATTGTATGCATTTGAACTAAACGAGCCAAACATAAGCCTTTAGTGAGCTTACTAGATCGTTAAATTCATTTTCGACAATTTCCAAATCCGGATTAGTTCATTTTTAAATTTTAAATAGAAATCGGCCTATTTTTGTAGACTATAGAAACTACTCAACTAAATTAAACATGTCAATAATCAATAAATAAATTGTAGCGAATAACAATAACGAACAATAAATTCACACTTATTAATTAATAATTATAAATGCTATTTATTAACCTCTAATAAAAACTGCACATTTTATTGTTGCAACTAAGATATTATGTGGTTTTATTTTTATTATAAATACATAGTAGGTACCTATGTATCAAGGTAGGTTTTAATAGTTTGACGTTTGTTTGTTCTTATTTATTTGTCATTTGCAACCATTATTTATACGTATAAAATAATATTTCGCTTTGTTTTATCTATTTTACAATAGTGTTAGAATTTTTGTTGTTGGTGTTGTTATTCAAAATGCCCCATAAGTTTTCAAATGCAGAATATGCAGATATCATTTTTATGTACGGATTCTGTAATGGGAATGGCAGAGCTGCAGCAAGAGAATATCATAGAAGATTTCCTGGTCGTCGAGTTCCCTGTTATTCAACATTTGCATCATTTTTTAATTATTTGCGAGAACATGGCACATTCCCTAAAGCAAATACAGAACGAAATGTAGATCATGAGCAGGAAGATAATATTCTTGATGCTGTTATTGCGAACCCCACAATAAGCACCAGGAAAGTAAGTCGACAACTTTATGTTACCCAATCAAAAGTGACTAGAGTCTTACGAAAAAATAATTTACACCCATATCATATTCAATTAGTTCAGCGGCTACACCCTGGAGATGAAATCCATAGGTTGGAATTTTGTAGGTGGATTGCAAATCATAGACCAGTACTGTATAGAACATTGTTTACAGATGAAGCACAGTTTACAAGGGATGGGATAAATAATTCCCGTAATTTACATGTGTGGGCAGTAGACAATCCCCATGCTGTTCGAGAGTTTCGGTCTCAGCTAAGGTTTTCCGTGAACGTATGGATTGGTGTGATAAATAACCAATTTATAGGACAAGTTTACTTAGACATTTTGCAAAATACTTTGCCTAATTTACTTGCCAACGTAGGTATCTGAGGGATGTATTTCCAACATGATGGAGCATCGCCTCATTTTTTAGTTGCGGTAAGAAATTATCTAAATAATGTTTTTGGCAACAGATGGATAGGACGTGCAGGTCCTATTTCATGGCCTCCAAGATCCCCAGATTTTAACTTCGTAGATTACTATATTTGGGGACGATTGAAAGAATTAGTTTATTCACAAAATATTAATTTCCGACAACAATTAATTGATAGAATTATACTTTGCTCTTATGTTATTAGAAACGATCCCTTGACTATCCGTAAATCAATAAGGCACTTAACGATTCGGCAACAAAAATGCGTAGAAGCTGGAGAGTTTTATTTCGAACAACTACTGTAATTGTTAATTAATTACCATGATTTTATTTTCTAGTATACATGTTATCATTATTCTATGTATGTAGTATTAGTTTTTTTTTAAATTTCTTATTTCGTTATTCTAATTCGTTAAAATTTATTTATTGTTTGTTGATGAAATTTAAACGAAATAAAATATTTCTAATAAATACATATGAACTTATGTTTAATTTATTTGAGTCTCCAAAAATGTACAGGGTGATTTTTGTTTAAAAATTAATTAAAAATTTATAACTAGGCCTGGAAATTGAATAAAATGATATTAACGGTGTAGGCACTAAAGGCTTATGTTAGACTCGTTTTAGTTCAAATGTATACCATTAACAATTTTTTCTTTAAGTTATAACATTATAATGTGACCCCTTAAGTTGATTTTTCAGTTTTGCTCAAAATCAAAACTTAATAAAAAAATTAAAGAAAATGTGACAAAAATGTCACATACACAATTTTGATTGTCTATCTATGTACTTTAAAAATATTTTATTATAATTAAAAAAAATCTTTTACAGGGCGAACTTTTTGATATGAATCGTCGAGATTAATTTTTCCTAAGCCAATCCTGGAATTTTTAAATTTTGAGGATATAAATTAAATGCTAGACACCAGTGTAAAGATCCATCAAAAATTAGAGAAATCTCTGTAAGTTATAACATTATAATGTGACCCCTTAAGGTGATTTTTCAGTTTTGCCCAAAATCAAAACTTAATAAAAAAATTAAAGAAAATGTGACAAAAATGTCACATACACAGTTTTGATTGCCTGTCTATGTACTTTAAAAATATATTATTATAATTTAAAAAAATCTTATACAGGGCGAACTTTTTGATATGAATCGTCGAGATTTATTTTTCCTAAGCCAATCCTGGAATTTTTAACTTTTGAGGATAAGAATAAAATGATAGACACCAGTGTAAAGCTCCACAAAAAAATTAAAGAAATCTAGTAATCCTTGTAGATTTTACGGCCATATAAAGTTTGGTCAAATTTCACCAATATATATTAATAACAAAGGAGAGTTGCCACTTTTTAATGCTCATATGATATACCCCTTAAGGGACTCTACATATGGTAGAAGTCTGTAAGGTTCCTCATGACTCACCCTGTATAATATTAGTAACAATGATAATGGTCTATATGATGACATTTCATTCAGAGATTTTCTTGACTTAGGAATTAGGATAACTTTAGTAATTTTCCATACATCTGATATATGATATGTTTAAGACGAAACTCTATATTTATGAAGCATGTCAATTTAACGATAGCTTCTTTTGTAGTTTCTTCAATATTTTTTTACTGTTAATGTCACATTCTGGAACCTTCTGTGAATTAATGTTTGTCTGAATTTCTTTCTTAATTGCATTGGGAGTACCTAACGTAATTTCAAGTTGTTTCATAACATGGATCATCTTCTTATGAGTTAGTTATTCTGATAGGAGGATACTGGATATACAAGTTTTTTATGTTATTAGTTGTTTTCTAGAGCAAATAATCAGTTTTTCTGTTAGCCTTTTTAGGTATCTGCTCTTTGTGATTTAGGATTTCTCTTTGAAGAATCTTAATAATAATGTAGATATTAATTACCTGACCATCTTTTGTTATAAAAGTATTCGATATGTATGCTTTGTTCAGTAAATTGTAAATTTAAATATTTGAAATATTTGAAGCGCCACTGAATTTAAAGATGTTACATTAGGCCTCTTTTATGTCGGCTTTAATGAAAACCGATCTAAAATGTGTCTTGGGGAAAGTTTAATGACATAAACGGCTGCTACGAGATTTTCACAGAAATGGACAGAAGGGAATTGGGTCAATGAGGGCGAGATTAGGCCCTATTTACCATAATGAATACAACGATGAGAGTCTGAATGTGTTACAATATACCAATCACTTGGTTCCCGCTCCAATAAAATAAAATAAAAATTGTCAGATTTATTAAAAAATATAAAAATAGAGTAATTTTTTTAGTGTCGGAATACATACAATATAGATTTTAGGTACTATATTTAATTTAATAATCGCTTGGACCCAATTTTTACAATTTTTTTATAGCTGCCAAAAACGCCTTTAGTGAGGCTTAGCCGCTATTCGTTCTCTAGGTTCTGAAGAAATCAATCTCAATTCCTTTAATAATACGCTTTATAATATCCATCATCTTGTATTTTTTCTTACCAATTATTCAAACCTGCCCTGCGTAGATATTCTTTCACTTCCTTCAGCCATCATGATCTAGGTTTTCTACGTCCTTATCTTTCTCATGGGTCTTGCAACATTGAATGAACTATTGTTCCATTTTCTGCTTTCCAAACTTTTATTTTCATAATTCTTAATTCTTCTTAAATTTTGGTTATTTACTTGTCAATGAGTTCTTGTGGCTACCTTATTAATAACACTATAAAAATCTTCTATTCTTTTTCCCCTGTAAAACTTAATTTATGCTTTTCGTTTCTTTTTATATTTTCCTTAATTGCGTTTAGTAAAAATGGCTTTCTACTACTTATGAGCATCTAACACTTCTAAAATTTAATATTTCTGAAATATTGGTCCCAAATAATCTATGTAAATGCAGTTACAAGTCATTAAGAATGTTTTATCCAGAAAATTCTGCATTTTTATGCAGGTACGTATAGCTTTAATCAAATTCTAAATTCAATTAGAGCCACCATACATATAATACCACTAAATTCTTGTTTTTACCATAACTAAATATTTAGAGTTTGTGAGCCAGTATCAAACAATCGTCTACTAAATTGAATTGTTTTTTTAAACTTTTTATTATTAGTATTTCAAATTAATATTATTAAAATGTTATTTTTAAATAAAAATCTATACAAGCCGATAAAAGGTCTTTGATTTAATAAACACATTTAAGTTCTAAAAAGGTACGTCAATTTGTTTTTAACTTCGACGTACACTAAACGAGTATTAATTGAGTATCTAACGTGACATTCGCCTTTTTCAACTGTCTAAAGGAAGTATTTTCAAACTCCGAGTGGAGTTCGGATGTAGAAAAACACTGTTTGTTTTGGTCCGACAAAGCGAACAAAAAGTATTTACAACGACGTGATTTATTGGAAATTCATTGATGTCCTCGAATGATTGAATCCGAGAAAAGAGAAAAAGAAAAAACAGTTTTAAGTGAAAAATAGAATTGAAAGGAACGAAACTGAATTATTACCAATAAAAGAACAACTGACCAGCTCTATTGAAGGATTTTAATAGCATTATCCATGTACTAAAGTTTACTAGAGTTACTTTTTTCTTGTAATAGTTACAGGCATCGCATCCTAATTTGTCAGTAGTGGGGTAAAGTTTGCGCACTTCTGACACACCTTTAAACCATCTTAATGGCTACTATTAAAGCTCATATACTCTAAGGTAGAGTGATGAAATTGGATATAATTTAATACATATTGTAGTTATATCCAAAGAAGTGGTTGTTTTATATCTTTATGTTTATTTATCTTATTTTACGTCTTGATCACATTTACGTTAGAAATATTTTCTCTTTTTAAAAGTTTCAATATTTTAATATTATTTTTAATTTATCATTTTAATTCATCACTTTATTGTAGTAAATTTTTTAAATCCTTAGGAAACGTTTTTCCCACGAAAAATTCTATGAAAAAAAAAAATATTGATGAAATATTTATCATGTCGTTACCAAGTACCTGTGGAAAAATAATGCTTGATTTACTGAATAAAAACAAAGTTTAACAAACAAAAAGTAATTTGAACGTTTCTCGAACTTTTCTAATTATTGTATACAGCCAAATCTGTTATGCTATAGAAAACTTACAAGTTCTATCAGACTTTTAAATAAGAATGTTATTTGCAAAATGTGAAAACTTCTTTCTTTTGAATCAATATCTGAAAAACATTGATTCTAACCTATTTTAAATTCGTCATACTAATCTAAACGTAATTTAAAAGGACCAAACACTTTTGGCATCAAATTTTTTATAATACATTAAGTTACATGTCATATTTCTGTTTATTTAAAAACGAATCGTGTATATTTAAAAGTTCAAGGCATTTACTCCATAAATATATAGATAATTAAGCTCTAAATACAACACACGACTAAAAATAAGAATAAATTTATTAAAAAAGCGCAAATTTCAACAATATTCATATTGATTTAAAACAAGAACAATTATATTTAAACTGTTACTAATAGGCGAGTAAAAAACAAACTAATTTGTTACTTGACACATTGGATGATAACACGCCATCAAGGCATCATTCTACAAGCTTTTTAGCCCATCTCCCATCTCCAAGTTATGCGTTTCACTCACGCTTCTATATACTGCGAAGACGAAGAACCGTTGTCCTACAAAATTAAAAATCGTCTAGTCATTAAATAAAATTAATTTTAAAAGTTTTTTAACCGTTTTTTCAACTGAGACATTTGAGGATACCGTATCGTAAGAAATCAAATAATATTAGAAAGAATAATAATATATTAATCACAAAAAATCTTAGTATAACCTAAACCCACCTTAACTCAATTAGACACACAAATCATATAAAACAAAAGTTTTGAACTTACTAGTTCCATACTTTATTATATAAAATAATTTATGTCGAAATGATTTAAAATTTAATTTATTACTACTACTAAAAAATTTTAATTTACCGCCATTTGTCAGTTGTCATTTGAGTTTTGTCTCCAAAACACAAGGGGGCACTACTTTGATTTAAAAGTCTAACATTGACGTGAAGTCTTTAAAGGTTAGGTGCTTTGTGATTAAACACTTTTAAACTATATTTTTTAGAAACCCTAAATAAAATCTCAAAATTGCCCCTAGTTTGTTTGAAGTATCAATATTATAACTAATATTAATGCATAGGCGTAGAACTTATTTCTTTTATTAATTGCAAATTTAACTTTTCTAGAACAATAGAAAAATGAGGGATTGAGTATAATAAGACTTGATTTTTACGACGGTTTTGTAATGACCTTGTACCCAATCAAATTTGAAGATTTTAAAAACAAAGATATATATTTTTTAATTTACTTAGATTATGAACTAAATTAGCATGCATACAGCATGTTCAATCGCTTTACCCACCAATTTCATTATCCACCAATCACTGCACTACCAACTCATATCTGACAGCAAAAAATATCATGCTCAGCATTATCACTCGCTTATACCATTAGGCAACAGATCGAAATGTTACTTGCAGATGTCTCCGCAGGTGTCGTGGGTGAGGCACAGGGACGTGCATCTCCTTACAGTGGGCCGTTATACATACACCAGTGACCAGAGGTTTAGAGCCATCCACCAACCCCATTCGGAAGATTGGACGTTGCAAATCAAGTATCCTCAGCACAGGGATTCCGGAGTGTACGAATGTCAGGTCTCATCGACACCGCATCTATCGCATTTCATCCATCTCACCGTAATAGGTAAGTTTATCTTGAATTATAATAATTTATATAGGTTGTCTCGGGAATATAGTAAGTCAGGATTAAAAAAAAAAAAAAAACCAAAAACCGGCGTCATTTAACGCTATAACATACATTCATGTATGGTTCAATTAGACAAATTATCTTCAAACTTCATTAGAGATTCTACTCGAGTTGACTACTTTTCACCTGATGAGCCCTAAGTGGGGCGAAACCGTTTGTACAATGTTAGCTACTAAATTAAAGAATTTGTTGTAATGAAAAAGTCGTTCATTCTTTTGGTACATCTGGTCTATATTTTAAGCTGCAAGGAGTAGCTCTTAAGGAAAATAACAATACAGCAAGTATTCTAGTTAAATTAAATTAAATAAGAACTATACTAACATTTTGTGACCACAGCAATTGTTTGTCTTGATTTGAATTATTTATTTTTTGAATCCAAGAGATAAAAAATAATTTAGTTTGTTAAATAATAAACACTGAGGTAAATAAACAACATAAGTCATATACATATGGCTTATTTTACTTTAAAAAGTTATGATATAAACTATTATCTGTGTAAAATAAACTTATAACGTTCGTAAAAAAGTTTCAATCCCGTTGAAAGTATATTAAATTGTCTTATTACCGATATCGATGTTTCCAAAGTTTTAAATTAATCATTAGGGTTGATTTGTAGCTATAACCTGACAATTTAAAATTGCTTCCATATCAAATTTGTCGAATACACTGTATAATTTAATGTATTGGTGAGAATAGGTGAACTTTCTAGCACATTCGCCAATTTTTTAAATTTGTATACAAATATTGGTGGAGGACCAAGCGAGAGTTAGTTATTATATGGACAGTGAAGATAAATACTGAACAGTTTAAAGACATTCGAAATATATATAAATTAGAATAATAGTGTTATAAATTAAATAAGTGTTTAAATAAATTATTAATAAATAAACTGTTGTTTAAAATAAACAAACATCACATTAATATAAAAATATAGGATACTCCAAATAATTATGATTCATTATCCTTTGATATAAACAAGTTGGATGAAATAAAATGAAAATTACTTTTCAATTTATTTCCTATGACATTTATGCAATTATTCATTTTTATTAACAATTTGTATTTGTATGGAACCCACTTATTTTTCTACAAATTGAATTTTTTTCTATTTATTGAAAGGAACGAATTATAACAGAACAACATTTTAAAATCATTTTTACTCGGACAAAGAAGATAGAATGAACATACATCTACGAATATAATTCGGATTTGATTACGTTAATCCATTTCTATTGTTATATTTTCTTCAACGTTTCCTTTCATACTAAAGCAAGCAAATATAAAACTCAATTTTTACGATGTTTTTTTTGTGTGTTGTTTACACTTCTTCGGGGAAAAGTAAATTAATGGTTTTTTTATGGCAATCATTTTATTATGAAATACATTTTTTATTAAGCTATGTGGCGGGTTTCGGTTTGAAAACCTTTTCAGTTCGGTAAATTATTAAGTGTAATAAAATGAAAAAGTACAATCTCAAAATTATAATAGAAGTGATCGCTTCCTTCCAGAAAACAACTACCTACTCAGTAAAATAATGTTTAACTAATGTTTAATTAATGTTCAACTAATGTTTAACTAATGTTTAACTAATGTTTAACTAATGTTTAACTAATGTTTAACTAATGTTTAACTAATGTTTAACTAATGTTTAACTAATGTTTAACTAATGTTTAACTAATGTTTAACTAATGTTTAACTAATGTTTAACTAATGTTTAACTAATGTTTAACTAATGTTTAACTAATGTTTAACTAATGTTTAACTAATGTTTAACTAATGTTTAACTAATGTTTAACTAATGTTTAACTAATGTTTAACTAATGTTTAACTAATGTTTAACTAATGTTTAACTAATGTTTAACTAATGTTTAACTAATGTTTAACTAATGTTTAACTAATGTTTAACTAATGTTTAACTAATGTTTAACTAATGTTTAACTAATGTTTAACTAATGTTTAACTAATGTTTAACTAATGTTTAACTAATGTTTAACTAATGTTTAACTAATGTTTAACTAATGTTTAACTAATGTTTAACTAATGTTTAACTAATGTTTAACTAATGTTTAACTAATGTTTAACTAATGTTTAACTAATGTTTAACTAATGTTTAACTAATGTTTAACTAATGTTTAACTAATGTTTAACTAATGTTTAACTAATGTTTAACTAATGTTTAACTAATGTTTAACTAATGTTTAACTAATATTTAACTAATGTTTAACTAATGTTTAACTAATGTTTAACTAATGTTTAACTAATGTTTAACTAATGTTTAACTAATGTTTAACTAATGTTTAACTAATGTTTAACTAATGTTTAACTAATGTTTAACTAATGTTTAACTAATGTTTAACTAATGTTTAACTAATGTTTAACTAATGTTTAACTAATGTTTAACTAATGTTTAACTAATGTTTAACTAATGTTTAACTAATGTTTAACTAATGTTTAACTAATGTTTAACTAATGTTTAACTAATGTTTAACTAATGTTTAACTAATGTTTAACTAATGTTTAACTAATGTTTAACTAATGTTTAACTAATGTTTAACTAATGTTTAACTAATGTTTAACTAATGTTTAACTAATGTTTAACTAATGTTTAACTAATGTTTAACTAATGTTTAACTAATGTTTAACTAATGTTTCACTAATGTTCGCTAATGTTTCACTAATGTTTAGTAATTGTTTCACCTAATGTTTGTTTAATTAATGTTTATTTAACGGGATTTTTTAAGTAATGTTTGTTTAAGTAATGCTTGTTTAATTAAGGTTTGTTTGCCCAATATTTATTTAACTAATATTTGTTTACCCAATATCTGTTTATCTAATATTTGTTTAACTAAAGTTTGTTTAACTAATGTTTGTTTAGCTCATATTTGTTTAAATTATGTTTGTTTAACCAATTTTAGTAAGTGTTTAACCTTTGTTTCTCAAAAGTTTTATCTAATCTTTATTAGAATCTGTAGCTGAGAAAAATTCACTTGAATATCTAGATTTTGGTTGAGTCAAATTATGAAGTCAAAAATTTACTTTAGAAACATTTTTCATTGCACCGAAAAATTTAGCTTAATATTTAAAAAAGTATACTTGGTAATGTCACTAATCTTTAAATATTATTTTTGCTGTCTTTTTTCTAGTTTCTAACCTGGAGTAGATTTAATTTTTGTTCCTTTTATCTAACTGTCATTATTTTACATTAAATAAATTTTATTTCCTTGATATCCTATCATAGGAATTATCCTCTTTTTTTCGCTGTAGCCTGCTTTGATTGTAATAACTGACCTAGCTATTTCCTAAGTTTTTTGGCGTATGTTAGGTTGATTAAAAAAAGGAAAAAAAAAAAGGAATCGTCAATTTTGCTATTTTCACCTTAATATTTAGAGCAAGTCCAAAATGAAGTTAGAAATATGATTTAGGGAAATTTCGAAAACCTAAATCACGATTCTATGAATCTTAAAACTAAGTATTCTCAACTTATGTATGCTAATCTTAGACTTCAAACCATTTTATTCGATGCATTTTGCTTTATTGCGGATGATATTCTGGACACAAAGAATACTAATTGCTTGAATTTTAAAACTGCCAAATGCTTGTCTCTCGAATATATTGATACGGATTTATGGGTAATCTCCGTCTATTTCAAATGGTAGTGCATTTAAAAAAAAGTTTTTAATTCATTTTAGCCTGTCAATGTGAATGTGATAGTGAGTGATTTCAAATTACCTATGCCTAATCCAGTTTTAAAATTTAAAATGCCTAAAACAGAAAGTAAAAGGTTTATTACATTAGTAGAATATATAGAATACTGAATAGAGTGGGTGGATACTCTTAGAATTTGAGATTTTTTTTTACTAATTTGCTACAAACAGTATTTAATCAATAACGTATAAAAAATATGTATATATAACGCAGTGCTCTGTTCCTGGGCAACAATGGCAATGCCATAGTAAGGTATTTAATTTCATCTACTAACTATAAAAATCCTTTGGAATAGCAAAAAATTGTTAAAAAAAAGTTTACAATGAATGTAAAACAAAATATTCGAATCTCAAAAATCAACATATTCCAATTTCTACATAATTCAACTTATGTCACATTATGCCATTACAAAAACAAAATATTAATTTAATAATGTGTGGCGATATGGAGATCCCCACCTATTCTTACCATTAGTTTTGACTTACATGTCATTTCAGTTTAAGACTTTAAGTCGATTTCAGGGGACTCCATTATTAATGAAAATTTACTATTAAAGATCTGGAGTAGGAGACTCCCAAAGTTCATTGATATATCCTCTATCTGGCAGCAAAAATGTGATAGTTGCAGATTTTTTAGATAGAATAGAGTTAGACGTATCTTTCAGTAGAAAAAATAGACCAATTAGAGTCACAATTCCGTGACTCACGAAGCACCTCAAAGGTAATTAAATTTGTAGTTCCGCAGGGTACTGTATTGGGACCTATACTTTTTACGGTCTATTACAAATAAACTCAATTGAAAGCATTTCCTCTTTCGCTGATGATACCGTTATACAGTATACAGCTAATACCTGGAAATAATTAAGAGTTAATTTAGAAAATGATATAAAAAATATTAAACTTTGGTTCGATGAAATGTCCTTAACAATTAATATAAATAAAACAAAATATATAGCTTTCTCCTGTCGAAATAATAACAGACCACAATATAGTTCTTTACATATAGGAGAGGTACAAATAGCAGAGGTAAAAACAATTAAATATTTGGGCATTGAAATTGATAACAACTTAAACTGGAAAACTCATGTCAAACAACTATTAAAAAAATTACGATATATTTTATTTAAATTTAAAAAATTAGCAGCTATTTTCAACTATAAAAATCTCAAAACGATTTACTAGTTGAATCGCTTATTCAATATGGAATAACGGCATGGGGAGGAATATATAAAA